GTTTTTCCCATACGTTTAACCATAATACGACGTAGGAAGAGGCAATTTAATCTTTGCATCAGGAAAAATAATGATATACCTATATAATTCATTTTAATTATACTCGTACATTATCGTAACGTGATATATGTACTATAAAAGTATCCGCATTTAGTATTTGTATATTTTGTATCAACTTTGAAAGTTATTACACCTAATTAATAATTTCTTCATGTAAGATTACTATAAAAATAATATTAAAAATATATAGAAACAGTATATTTATAAACCAATTTTTTACTAAAGAAGTAACAGTTACAAGAAGAGGATTGAACAAAACTTAAACATAAACGAATGAATTCCTATGTATGCTTTGTGCAGAGCTCTAGAGATTCACAAATCAGTCGGTTAGATGGCGCTGCAGTCGATATCTAGAATATTTGAAATGAAACTGCTGCAACGTCACTAAATGTATTGCTTTAAAATCTTTATACATTTCTCTCTGTTATTCTGAGAGCAAATCTTGTAGTCACGCGGACGAAATCGGGAGCAAAGACTAATAAAATCTGTTTCGAAGACAACGGAAGGCGCTTAACAAAATATACTACTTTACGTATGATTTTTACTTGAAACATTAATTTTGAACTTATGCCTATTTACGAGTATACCTCCATTTTGCTTCTTCTACTTCAATTGACTTTTGATCAGTGGCAGTCTCAAGCCGCGTAAGGGAAGCCAACGTTGATAGGTGTTACCTAGACAAGAAACTTTTCATCATTCCATGTATTCACGGTGCGTGTGTCGGGTCCATCGTTGTAGTGAGAGGAGCTTCAACAGTGACTGGGACTTGGGACCCAGGTGTAGGTTTAATATATATAGAGAGACGAAACCTCTCATCATTCAATGTATTCACGGTGCGTGTGTCGGGTCCATCGTTGTAGTGAGAGGAGCTTCAACAGTGACTGGGACTTGGGACCCAGGTGTAGGTTTAATATATATAGAGAGACGAAACCTCTCATCATTCAATGTATTCACGGTGCGTGTGTCGGGTCCATCGTTGTAGTGAGAGGAGCTTCAACAGTGACTGGGACTTGTGACCCAGGTGTAGGTTTAATATATATAGAGAGACGAAACCTCTCATCATTCAATGTATTCACGGTGCGTGTGTCGGGTCCATCGTTGTAGTGAGAGGAGCTTCAACAGTGACTGGGACTTGGGACCCAGGTGTAGGTTTAATATATATAGAGAGACGAAACCTCTCATCATTCAATGTATTCACGGTGCGTGTGTCGGGTCCATCGTTGTAGTGAGAGGAGCTTCAACAGTGACTGGGACTTGCGACCCAGGTGTAGGTTTAATATATATAGAGAGACGAAACCTCTCATCATTCCATGTATTCACGGTGCGTGTGTCGGGTCCATCGTTGTAGTGAGAGGAGCTTCAACAGTGACTGGGACTTGCGACCCAGGCGAAGGTTTCAACAGCCCCTATCTAACCTCTACTGTGCAAGCTTCTCGCTTTATCTAACCAAGTTTGAATCAAATTTTTCACAAAAAAAAGTAATCTTATTTTTCTTATAATTTTGAATTTTCTGTGAAACATCCATAGTGTATACAATATATTCTAGCCTTTAATAACTATTTATAGCTTTCACTTGCATACTTAAAATAATAGACCTACATGCACTCATTATTTTTTTCACTGATTTATTTCTACCCAAAAATTATACATAAAACCTTTATTTGTGTCTATTGAATATTCAAATGTCTAACTGTACTGTCTAATTGATATATTAAAACCTTTCTTGTTAAAGTTTTTCTGTTTTGAGATGATTTTCTTAATAAATAAGTATGTTTATATTCTGCAATGTTATGAGTTTCCGAGCACAAAGTGACTTACCATTGGTTAGTGTTACTCTGTATAATACTTCTAAAGTATTGTTTAGTACTATTATGTAGTCATTAAAATATAACTGTGCAATTTAATGCTTTTGAGTTTCCTCTCACTTTCTTAATCATTTTGGGTCTTAAGGAGTGTAAATTCGAGGAATCATCAGATACTTGTCCCTCCATTATAGTCTCTCGAGTCTAGTCTAGACTATACTTTTCTAGACTCAAGTCTCACCTTTTTTTTCGTTGACCTCTGGACTATAGTCCTTTGCAGAATTGGTTGGATCTTATTCTCCAAAAGATATATCTCTGTTTGTTATTTGGCTTTGAATAAATGTTCTATCATTTTCATTCCCCAATAGAATACACATAATTCATTTAAGTCGATTTTTGATTCTGGCTTTATTTGTGGCTTAAACTGTGGCTTTAAATCTCATAATTCTAATGTGACTATTGATTATCTTCAAGCATTTTGAGCACTTAAACTTGAGCCACGTATCGTTGGTCAGGAGAAGGTTCGGATATTATGCTGTCTTCTTCTTTATAATTATACTACATGTATAAACTACTTAAATATCTTAGGTTTTTACCAGAATCAGTTGGTCCTAATGAAAATTATTCCAAAGTAACCATCGCTAAGTCTAGCTAGCATTTAATATACTTCTGATCAACTTTATAAATTTTATTTATTTCTAAAAATGTGTTAAACTATACCAATATTGTATAACAAATAATAATTAAGATAGATTCTCTATTTTTCATTAAGTAAGTAAATCCAAAATGTTTTAAATATTAGATAGATATAAGTATGAAAATATTATTGATTGTCATTACGGTAAGATCTTTAAGCAAATTTTTATTTTTAGTTCTTGCTTGTAGTTTGTATATTAAAGTACAGATGTATGTTAGACTTTTTGCAATTAATTTCATTGTTTGATTTTTTTTGGTACGCAGCCAATTTCCTTTAATAGATAAATAATATATTTGAACCTTCGGAGACTTTATTTATTGAAATTTATTATTGTCATTTTTGGATCTTGCATTAAACATCTATTATAGTAACACCTATCAGCCAATATTAATGAATATCACAAAAGAAACTATAAGATAATTTCCCTGTTTTAAAAGATAGGTAAGTAATTTAGCAAAGTTACGGTGATTTGAAATGTCTGCGAAAATTTTCATTTGTATAATGATATCTAGGATACTCGTGAATATTCATTTAAATGAAACTAATATTTTCCAATTTAATATTCGTTTCTTTAATATTTTAACTAAACAATATTAAAGTTTCGGTTTTCAAGAATCGTAATAAATTAATCATAAGCAGATGAAATTAAAATCCGAATATAATATTTTTATTTATATTTTAATATGAAAATTTATTTCCTAGCGGTGTGCGAACGCATTAAAACCGTAAGCTTGAAGTGTATGAAAATCAAAAAATTATAAGTGCATAATTTTCTTTTGTTTCTTTCCTAAAAACTAGTCATAAACATTTGAGAAAAATGTTTAACAGGCTTCCGAAGAAGAATGAACTAGATAAAGAATTTGCAGCATTGCTTTGTATTTGGAATTTTCTAGCAACAAACTTTCAGAAAAAGAAAGTGCAACTGAAAATCTCCTCACTCCTAGAAGTCGAAGAGTTTAAATGAAACTAATATTTTTCGGATATACTACGCATGCTTTAGTTTTGTAAAAACTACATATATGAAGCACACGTAGTATAATAAAACTCACGTGTCTTAGATCTCATTAACCAAGAGTTTTTGGGTAAGAGATTTTTAAAATCACGATTAGCCTAATAATAAATCTTCTTCTACCTGGCAATTTCCCAGCTTTAGCCAGAGTCTGTCTGACATGTGGTGAAAAATTTTGGCTAATTGTTTTTAATCCTCTTTGAGAATGCATTAATCAATGATGTCTAAATACTCTTAGAAAGCTCGTACATATGACTCGGAAAAATCACGTTGGTACTTGCCAGGATCGAACCCGCGCTTTCATGCATGAGAGGCGGGCCTTTTAACCAGGCCACCACTGATTTAGCTCATAAAAACATCATATATTATAGAATAATTATCATTAAGGTTGATTAATTTTATATTTTAATACACATCATAAATACAATATACAAACCTGTTCTTCTAAACGATGCGTCGAGCCTTTGATGGCTCTCTCTTTGATCACCGTTCATATGAACGCATGGTTGACTCAACAGGTATAAACACTTCTATATATTAATCACACGGCTTTGCTTACAGAATCTATATTCATAATCATGGATCAATCGAATTATCAAACTTCAAACAAGTTTAAATTGAATAATTGTTTTAATTTCATTAAAATAAAATTAAAGATATATATGAAATCTTTCCAATTACTTTTTTTTCTTTGTATTTAATATACTTATATAAATATTATATATTAATTTTAATCTGCATACATAAGTAACAATATTTTACCCTTACTCCTGTGATTTTTTTAGAAATTATATTTTTTATTATCAAGCGGTAAGCTTTAAAAATGTTATAATTTTTATATGACAAATATTTTCATTTTTGTTACATTATATAATATGAATTGTATTATTTTAGTTGCAATGTCAGTATTTTAATCCCTACTAATATTATAAATGCGAAAGTAACTCTGTCTGTCTGTTAAGCTTTCACGCCTAAACCACTGAACTGATTTTAATGAAATTTGATACAGATAAAGAGTTGACCTTGAGAAAGAACATAGGATAGTTATCCCAGACTTTTGAAAGATTCTCTTGGAAACGCGATATAACCGAACTCCACGCGGGCGAAACTGCGGGCGGAAAGCTAGTATAAAAATATAAGGGTGTTTGCTATTGGATAAGACTAAACTCTCAGCATTCGTTATCTTCTTAAGAACATTCTGACTTATAATTAAATGTCCAAAATAAAACTATTATACATATATGTCTCATTTATAATTCATTTTTTACGTAATTATTAATTAAAGCATCTAAATTATTACAGAAACAAAAATCAAAATAAATATGAAAAATATTCAATAATATTTATAAAATCGAAAATGTGTATCGTAAATCTTAAAAATATTAAATGTTAATATTAATTCGCTTAATAATATCGTAATAAATATAATATATTAACAATTATTATATTTCGTATGTCCAGCGCATTCTCCGCACACTGAATGCATGTAGGAAGATGGCAATAAGATCACTGTCTCATTAAATCTCTTATACAGGAGTACACCTGTCGATTCTGAAAGGATTTTTGTTCCAACTTCCAAGATGGACCTGAAAAATAACAACAAAATATTTGACAGACCGACTGACAGACCCACATCTCTTCTGCACGTGATCACGGTTGTAAAGTAACCGAAACTAAAGTATGTAGTTTATAATAAAATAAAACCTCGTAGTAAATCCTAAAATATTAGTTTAATTTAAACAAAAGATTTATTTGCAAATAAAGATTCATGCTTGATAGTCATTTGAGCTGTAAATTCCCGCTGATTACAAAAAAATAATACGCTGCATTAAGTGCTACATATCTTAATTTTAGTATTTTTTATCAAAAATAATGTTAGATATGAATGTGTAGGTATATGTGTGTCGAGGTAGACCTAAGAAAAGATGGATGGATTGTGTGAAGGATGACGTGGATAAGAAAGGAGTAACAGATGAGATGACGACTGATAGAAGAGACTGGAGAAGAACATGTTGTGACGACCATACATATAGTGGAACCAGGGCAGGAAGAAGATTTAAAATAAATTTATACTATTAATATATAATGTATACCCTCAGTACTTTTCGATAGAAGGACATATTATCACTTATAAAAACATAATATAGTACACAATATGTAAAAAGTCTTACTTATAATCCGTGACTTTTGAAGAATGTACGCTCGTTGCATTTTTAGATGGATAGTCCCCGTCGTACAGTTGAATACCGCCGTCTTGTTTCCGGAGAATGACGAACCTATAAATGAAAATGAAAATATTTATAAAAAAAATAAAAATAAACTTTATTGACTCAAGGATTACATAAAAATCAAGTTGCAAGGGCCCTGTACTAGGTTTATATGCAGTGATTTGTGATTTTTTTAAATATTTTTTTGTGGAGCGAATTGGGAGAGTCCTATGTCCAGCAGTGGACCAAGAGTGGCTAAATGTATATATACATATATATATATATATATATATATATATATATATATATATATATATTTTCATATATTTTCATGAGCATATTAAAGTTTTACTACATTTTTTGGATATTACTAGAATTTTTTATATTTTTATCTCGCCTTCAAGTCAACAAGATCTGAACGCGGGTAAAATGTTAAATAGCAGATTCAAACAATGTCAAAAAAGGGAGGTTTAATTTTTTTGGTTTGTTATTAAAAAAACATAATATCCAACTTAAATAGACTTCGTTGTTTACGAAGTCAAATATTACTGTAGTAATGAATACTAGAAATTATTTAGACGCTATTTTTTTCTGATTTATAAACAAATATTCAGAAAAATGATAAATACGAAAGCTATAATATATTCCAAATTTTCTGCATTTAAATTACAATATGTACCCTATATTTTCTCTTCATTATTTTAGTTAAGGCTTTATAGATTAAATTAATATATATATTTCAAATAGCTACTAGTTTGTCCATCAAATTATTCACCTCGGAGACACAGAGCAATCAGCAAGTACCAGGCTTTCTGAACACTGTAGAGGTTGCAGCTGTTCCACAGAACCTGACAGCATCTGGACCGTGGATTCTTGAAGACGACATTCACCTGTAAAATGATCAACCAAGATAAGATTAATATGCCTAAGTGCGGAATTATATTTTCTTTTTGGCTGTCTCATGGACATTCTAAGTATTACTATTGATACTCTTTCAACCAGATAAGGTTGATGCTAAATATAATGCTGTTTTAGTCTGAGAATTTAACAATAAGAAAGCGTTTTCTTTTTATTTTGTAGCGTAAGAAAAAGAGTATTTGCCAATTGGAAAGATGTAAGCAAGTTGTGAAAACATTTTCTAAAAATGTTCAAGTTTAAGGACATGAAATAAAGAAGCATGATGTAAAGAGTGGACCAAACTGACTGAGAATTATTTATTTTACGATAAACAAGATAACTTGATTTATTATTAATAAATACAATTATTTTTGGTAAAAAAAGCAGACTTCAAAAAACGACCTAGCAACAAGAAAAATTAATCAAAGAATATTTTTTGTCTATAATATTATTTCCTAAGATAACCTATTTAATAATAAATTCCAAATATCTGGCAAAAATCTACTAAAAACCTAATGTATAAAAACAAACCCAATTTTTATTTACTTATCAATTATCTATTTGCATATTATAATTACATATATATACAATTTATTAATCACCGTTTGGAGTCATTATCTTCTACATATTAAGTAACTAAACAATATTTTATAATTGTAGAACAACCTATAGACAGCAAAGTTTTTCAACCGACATCAAAAAATGACGATATTTTTAAAATTGGCTAAAAAAAATATTCAAGCATTCTGATACTTTAGCTCTATTATATTATATATTATACTCTCTACAAATGGTGAAGGAAAACATCGTGAGGAAACCTGGACTTATAGTTTCACAATTATAAGTTTGAAATCACCGACCCGTCTTGAGCAAGTGTGGTGATTAATGCTCAAACCTTCTCCATGTGAGAAAGAGGCCTTTGCTCAGCAGTGGGCTCTGATAGGATGATGACGATACTTTAGCTCTATTATTTCATATGTATGTCTATATATTTTTTTCTATGGAACTATATCTTCCTGGGTATACTCACGATACAATCCAAACCTCCTCATGAGCTGCATGGCCGTCCAGCTATCCAACAGCCAGGATAGACCTCCCACATACATTTCCACCTCAACACCACCATTCACACGAATAGATGCTATACCATCTTTTTCCTGCAACATTATAATAGAATTCTTTATTTTAATTTCTTTGGTAATAATGTTTATTGTTTTTATTTTCTGGTTTAAATGTGATGTTAAGAAACATGTATTTTTGGATGTGGTTGATGCTCTTGTATAATTGCGAGGACTTTGAATTTAACTTCAGACTTTATCTTTCCATCAAATTCTGATTTTGAGGTAACATATTTATATATCGCTTTATATTTCAATTTAATATTTTTTTTTTGTTTTACATATAAATAATGATTTATGCAACAAAGGACAAATATTTTTTGATTAAAGTTACAACAGAATTTTACTTGTACGATTTTATTGATACTAAATCTGTGGCAACAAATTATTATTATTAGTATTTGAAAAAACCTTCGTACACTTATTTTTAGCTTTAACATAATATGTAATCATTTAAAAGTTTTTTATTGATCAGTGATGCGCTAGTTTCCGAATAAGACACTTTGAAACCCACTGACTAATATTTTGTAGTAAACTTTGTGAATTAGAACTAAGGTATGGTCAAATTTGGTTTGTTTCAAAATTGTTTTAGTGAATAGTAAAAATAAATTAATCTGTACTTCATAGAATTGTACCAGTTAAACCATTTATCTGGAATTATAAAAACTTTATTTTTCCCCAAATTCATTTCAAAATTTACTTCTCCATAGATTTACAGGATATTAATATTGCATCCAAATATAAATAAAGTGTAATTTATAAAATAAAAATAAAAATATTAGATTTTGAGGACAGGTAATGAAAAAAACTTTACAAACTACAAAAATATCTTTGGAAAGTCGTCTTAAAGTATCTGACGGTTAAACACATTTAAATTACGTGTAATACTTAAAAAATTAAAACAAGAAGAGTTAGCGAATTTATACCATACAATTCAATGGATGCAATTTTCCCAGACATTAACTCCACTACAGATTCTGAAATTCTTACTTTATATTCTAGATAAACGAGTAGAATTATAAACAATACACTTATTTTAGACAACCCACATACCTTAATAACTGATGTAGTATTAATTTTGTTCTTGTCGAAGCTTCCTAACAATTGAGCGACTGGCGTCTTGACTCCGTAGCCCAAATTATGCAGCAGATCGAAGTTATGCAACTGTAAAATATCATCATCATAATTAGCCTATTAGAAAAAACTGCTGAACAAAGGTCTCTTCTTACATGGAGAAGGTTTGAGCATTAATCACCACGCTTACTTAAAGCAAACTGGCGATTTCTAACTAATAATTTGAAATTGTAAGTCCAGATTTCCTCACGATGTTTGCCTTTACCGTTAAAAACTTTAAGAAAGTACATATGACTCGAAAAAATCACTTGCCGGATTTCGAACCCACGCCCTCATGCATGAGAGGCGGACCTTTAACCACTAGGCCACCACGACTTCAATAACGTAATATAATGACTCCTTAATACAATAGAACAGCCCATGGCGTTTAATTTTTCAGTATTCTAATGTGTCTACATTGTTATTAAACTCATGGGAATTACCGATTACAAGGCTATAGAAGAATATTTCATTTCTATAACATAACTATGCTTAAAATATGTAAAACTACTGAAGTCTATCTCTTAGATTCATAGTATAAATAAATTATTTGCTACTATAGTACTCTTGATATTTATGTAAAAACAAAATCTTTTCGTAGATAATAAAGTTGTTTCCTTTCTGCTATTGCAAATATAAAGTTATGAAAAATAATATTAATTATACCAAAGGTATCTAAGATTTTTGCGTGTATTCATTTAAATGAAACTAAGTTTTTCGGATACTACTAAGTTTGGCATGACACTTTAATCTCGTCTGCCCGTGACATAAAATTATAAAAATAATCGTAGTATTTACATAATAAAATACTTTTCATTTAAATGTACACACGAATATTTTAGCTATCATTATACTTACATTCTCTCCCAAAATGTCAACTTCGACATATCTTTCGATGGTCCCTCTGTCGTTTCTCGGCGTTCCTTTGTAGTTCAACTGAAGTTTTGTCTCAATGGACTCATTAAGTCTTGTCTCATTTGGATCACATTGGTTGTATTCGTCTGATGTCTGATACAATATCTTCGATGTCCCGTGGTATGAAGATGGATTGATGGTGATGTCTTGGTCGGATGGGGCGTGGCTCGTGTCTTTTTGGGTATAACAAAGCTAGGGAATAAGGAATATTATATTTAACAATCAACCAAGAACTATCAACAAAACTAGATTGAATTTAGTATATTCTACTATTTAAAGTATAAGTTTCTTATAACTAAAACATACATTGGAAAGGGACCAACATTTTTATTACAATTAATTACAAATAAGATTTTAAATAAAACTCGTATTACTGTAACGATGTTTAGAAAAGAATCCGATTTCTCATTCACTCATTACTTGTTATGTAATAAACAAGAAAATATTACAAAACCGTGCTAAACAACATGTTTCCTAATTACAAGTACTTATTTAATGTATTTTTTTAATAATTTTTAATTTATATTCTATCATCAAAGTTTACATAAAAAAGAGGAAATATATACTATTTATCGAAATGTTATAGTCTCATAAAGGATTTTTGATAAGAGACATATATTAAATTAATTATTAACATGTAGGTCGAAGTCATTAGAACATCGTATTCTTCAAGTTTCGTTACAAAATAAAGCCCTTCTCCTCCTAGTCCCAAATCTAAGTATATTATAGGTACGATCATATATTCAGTAGTCTTTTAATAAACCACCTCGTATCTCAGCTTATCGATAAAATTTTTGTGTTGTAAATTATAAATATTGTAAAATACCTTCCAAAACTTCTTCTTCGGATCCAAAGAGTATGGCTGGTTGACGTACAAGAACCATTTGATAAAAAGATTCCTCCCCGCGCTCTTTATTTTGGTATTGGAATCAATTTTTAGGTAAATCTGTTTATTTGGATCATTTATACTGAAAATATAATAAAAATACATCCATATTTATCATGCATAGAGGTAGAACTCAAATTACTGTTTGCTTTATCTATTGAAATATTTTACTTTCGTTTTCTGTACTGTTAAAATAGCACAATATAACAATCAATATTAATTTATTATTCCATTATTTAAGTTATGTTAAACTCAAGTTAAAAATAAATGGCCTAAAATATAGGGCCTTCAAATAACCACTAAGAAAAGTTTACTAATTATGATGGGAGTTCCATAGAAGAATATCCTTTCATACCTATAATACTTCAACATGAAGTCAAATTCCATTTCTATCTTATCCACTTTCTGGAACACAATGTCTCCTAGGGTAAATTCCACGTGAACCATTTCGTCTTCCCCGCCCACAGGTCGATTGGGAGGTATGATCACTCCACAAGAGGTTATGAAGCGAGATATTGTATTAAGGATATGTTTGGTTGGAAACAGACTAGAACAAAATGGAAATAATTATATAAATTCGTTTGTTTCGATTAAATTAAGAACCCTATTTAAATGAAAGTTAGCTTTTTTAGACGTGTCAAAATTAAGACACATTCATCTTGGCATGCCGAGACTGCTGCTAAAGAACCAAAACGTCTTGATTATGTAGATATAAAATAAAAAATACGCGTAATATTATTCAAACTTAGTTTCAGTTAAATAAGCCAGACAAAAATCTTCAATATTTAATATTTTATATGAAGTAGACATTTAGGGAATCGCCTCAATTTTGTTCGTACGTATTTGCAAGTCTCATTACAGTAAGCCATTAAGTAGGGGTAAAGTGAAGGGTTTTGGCACAATTAGGTTGAGCTCACATCGACTGACACATTCTAACACTTTCGAGCTAGTGTTTCAAATAATTATGGGCCTTAATTAGCCTTTTATTGATGAATGTATTTTCTACATATCCGTGCCTTAATACATTAATTAGGATTTACATATGTTTTTGGGTACCTTATATGCATTTTTTTCTCACTATGTTTCTATTTCACGAATTATAGACTCAGGATTAAAAATGCATCTTTAGTCTCTTAATAACAAATTATTTGAATATAATAATTATCAAAATTCGATGGACTATAATACAAAACATTCAATGTTTTCACGGTCGAATAATCTGACTTAAAATAATGTAAAGGTGCCAATTGCCTGAAGAAACATTTTAGTACTTACTCATAGCTCATGAACTTGGACATGATATATTTCTCAACCACCTCAGCGCCTGAAGTCTTTCTCTCACAGTCGAAGAAGATGCCACTGTCATCCTGGATGTCATTTATTTGGTTAATAAATTACATTGCACTGGATTTTAACGTGGATTCGTTTGATACAATAAGGGCAAGGAAAGTAAAAGAAATAAAAAAATTAAAAATAATATTTCAGTTTTAGCTCATAATAAGCGGACTTGGCCAGTTATCTGCAAAAGATTATCTTGATATAGTAGCTATTGTGGCTTAGAACCAAGCCATTCTTGAAAGATTTCCATGTCCGTCACAAATAAATACAATTCTAGCCATATTAGAATTTACCAATCTCTTGGTCTCACAAATTTTTAATATCTGATACCCCAAAAAAGTGGATTGATTTGACATATTGGAGACATAAAGGAACCTTACATCAGTAGTAATTCCACTGGAGATTGTGTACAGATCAGGCTGCCTGGCGTCCATGTGTACTTGGATCCAGGAGTGGATGGCGAAACCGGCACGTTGAGCGAATGGATTCAACCAGGTTAAACTGTGTAGAATTGGTAAACATATATACAGATAATTTATTACATTGAAAGAACCGCGTATTTTTATATATAGTACATACTAATAGTAATGGGACACTTTTATATAGTACATTTCCTTAAAATAAAACAACCAGTTATTTAATGCAATTTTTTCAGATTAATTCAATGTTTTCTTGTAAAATTACATGTAAATAGTCACATAACTGCTTGTATTCATATTATGCAAAGGAAAAATGTAAGTTGTAAAGGTTTACGAGTTACAACATCTTATATGGACATAAAATTATACAAGTAATTAGTTTTTTTTTATGCTACACAGAAAAATCCACCAGAAGACTGCTGTTGTTATATGTAGTTGTTACTAAATAAAAATAGCATTACAATAATATGTTGTTTGCAACTGTTGTTGAAGTTGCAAAATGTAAGGAACTGTTGTTGAAAAATAATTATATTTTAACTCACGCTATAGACTTAGCATATTGTTCCATAGTGACGTTAAATTTGATTGGTAGATGCGCCACCGCGGAACGCTGGACTCGTACTTCGTGTTCCGATTGCAGTAACGGCGCGATTGTTGATAGCGCTGTTGTTATTGTCGCTTGATGTCTGCAGGATTGTTGTTGGACGAGTGTTGTTATTGAGGCATTAAAATGATTATGAGAATAGTATGAAACGAGACGAAACTTCTCAGCATTCCATGAATTCATTGTGCGGGTGCCGGATCCATCGCGTTGCAGGGAGAGGAGCTTCAACAGTGACTGTGACTTGCGACCCAGGTGTAAGTTTAAGGGGCCCCTTATCTAACGCGCGTTATACGCTCACCTCCACTGTCCAAGCTCGTCTCCCTACCTAACCAAATTTGAAATAAATAAATAATCTTACCGTATATGTAAGTCGTTAACCCAATCTAGTGCAAGTCCGCTGTCCGGGTTGGAGGTGAGGTTTCCTCGAATCGAAGTAAAGGTTACCACAGATGACTGAAGGCGGATGGGTGTGCCTTCAAAATGTACAAAAAATTGGGTAAAACACACTTAATTTTAGTATAGACAAATATACTTCTATGTATTTATGGGTTTATAAGTATAATTTCTTTTTATGTTGCTTCAAAACTTCTATTAGTAATGATATAAAAATTATTTAATACTAAGCTCTATACCATTAATTTAAAGAGAATGGGTGTCATTGTTTGCATGATATAAAAGTATTTATAGCTTTAATTGCATTTGTAAAAGAATTTATCACTCTAAAAATAAAGGTTTTGTGTAGAAAGTCAATATAAGGTATAGTGTGAAGATTTTTGTTTTAGGAGTAAGTATTATTATGGCATATTATCTTTTCAACCGTCCTCCTTTTAATACTATTTGCGTTGGAACTTGGTGCGGGTTTTCGTTATTTCTTCGTCTATTGTTATGTATATTAAATTGTTATTTATAATAGTTTATTTAATTTGTTTTTTATGCTTAAATTTTGTTGAGTTTCTTGTTAGTCTTGTGCGTACAAAAGCATGTGGTTAATCAAGCCAAGGACCCGCATCATTCGAGCACAAATAATCTACATTACATATTAGAGTTTCTTGTAGTAAACAACTTATAATTTGTAATATAAATTTTTCTTACCTAAATCGCTGGGTACATTGACATCAATCTGGATTGGATAGTATGCTATTTGTTGGTTTATGTGACTGCCGAATCTCAAAAACTCCGTGATCGATTTCGTCACTGAAAGGCCAAATGAATTACAATATTAGTTATTATAACTAAAATAAATATTTAAAACCTAGCAATTGAATATAAATCTATATGTTTTTATAATGAGATCTACGACTTTCGGCATTTCAATAAAACTAATATTTCTCAATTGCATACTACGCGTTACTTTATTATTTTAAACTACATATTCCCGACGTGTCGGTTACTTCGCAGCAACCATGATCATGAGCAGACTAGATGAGAATGCCTATACATTTGTTATAAGGCTAGTAATATAATGTACTTTTCATATTCAAAACCAAGAATCTAGATAATACTAAATGTAGTTAAATAAATGTAGTTAATGCATTCCCAAAGAGGGTTGATGTCAAGCAGGCGGCCGGTCATAAAAACAATTAACTAAAACTATTCACAACATGTAAGGCAGACCCTGGCTAAAGCTGGGAAATTGCCAGGAAGAAGAAGAAGACTAAATGTAGTTAAATATTTTTTACTCACAATCGTATCCGTTCCATGATTCAAACCTCGTCTGGTTGATGTGCGTGGCATAAACTGTTTTGTCCTGAACTTTAATAACAACGTCTATGTGAACCTGAAATATAACATGATTTATATTAGAAAAAAATGTATTTTTCTATTAAAACATACATATTTTGGTAATAATTCTTAGAATAAATTCCTACTAAGATTTGGGTCTGCCCAGAAATAATATCAATGCATTTTAGAACATACTTCGAAGACAGCCCTAGTAGGTTCTTTTCAAATTTGGTAGAGAGAGGAGCTTGGACAGTGGAGGTGAGCCTTTAACGTGTTAGATAGGGGTCCCTTAAACCTACACCTGGGTCACAAGTCCCAGTCACTGTTGAAGCTCCTCTCACTACAACGATGGACCCGACACACGCACCGTGAATACATGGAATGATGAGAGGTTTCATCTCTCATAATTTTCATATAATAGTAAGTTGTGACATGAAATATATTTAATTAATAACAATAATAACAAAATTATTATTTTTATTTGCTTTAGTAACTATTCACTAGTTCGATATAATTTTTAGCTATTAATTGTTTTCAAATACTAGACACTACTATAAATAATAGATTTTCACGTTATATTGATCCGTATTCAAAACAAGACAGTTCAATAACGAAGACAGTTATTGCTCCAGGGTAAATCTGTATTCTATGTTTCTCACTTGACCTATGAATATTTTAATATAATCTTTAAATTATGTTGCCTATAATAATACTACTCTGTCTCCTTCATAAATTAAAAACGAAAGGTAATTATAACCTTTTTAAAACGCTGTATAATAAAAATGAGTAAAAAGAAAGTAAATCCCTACTAATATTATAAATGCGAAAGTAACTCTGTCTGTTTATCTGTCTGTCTGTCTGTTACGATTTCACGCCTAAGCCACTGAACTGATTTTAATGAAATTTGGTACAGATATAGAGTTGACCTTTTGAAAGAACATAGGATAGTTTTTATCCCAGACTTTTGAAAGGTTCTCTTAGAAACGCGATACAACCGAACTCCAAGCGGGCGAAGCTGCGGGCGAAAAACTAGTGTATAAAAAAGATAATAAAAGATAAAAAAAAGAAAATTACTTCTTCTGATGTCTTCAAATTCCGCACATTCAATCTCTCCAGGATTTTTAATAAATTATCGACTTTGAGATCACTTTGTTTCCACTTCCTCACTTTATCAACCTGCACTCCTTCAGCTATAATGTATACCTGAAACAAATATAATTATAAAATAAAGGAACTGACTATTATTTAACATACTGTTTTCAATGCGATATTCAGGAAAATAACAAAATATTTCCCCCAAATGTTATCATGTAAAATAGGTAAGCGTTAACTCATCAAAATATATTTAATGATTTTGAGAAACCGGTCTTCAAGAAACTTTCTGTAAGAAAGGAGCATTTAAAACGTCTTAAATAAACAGTGTACAACAATTCAGCTTCAAGCCTCCAAAATTTTATATAAACAGAATTTTATTTCACATCTTACTCCTACATAACTTTACGTATAACTGAATAAAGATCACAATATTCTGAATATAAACTAGTCTTTTTTAAACCCATTCATCTAATATAGCTCTAATAATTACCGAGGCCTGATAGGCCCGTCGTCCTCCAGTAGAAACAGACAGCGCTGCAAGGGTTGGAGCTGGGTTTCCAACAGTCATCACCTGAACCCAGCCACTAAGCTCATCACCACTGACGATGTAGTTGTTGGTGCCCCACAGTGATGAGTCAGGGTTAACGACGTCCTTTGAGACGAACGGAATGTAATCTGATCTGAAATTTGGGTCATACTTCAATGGCTGATATTTTTGGTAACAATTAACATATAAAAGATTTTAGGACTATTGTGTATTTAGGAATACTGTCAGCGGTGGCCTAATGGTTAAGTCCGCCTCTCATTGCCGAGTGCGCGTGTTTAATCCAGACCCGGGCAAGTACCAGTGTGATTGTTCCAAGTCATATGTACTTTCTAACAATATTTAGACATCACTGATTAATGCTGATTCCCAAAAGAGGGTTGATGTCAGGCAGGCGGCCGGTCGTAAAAACAATTAGCCCAAACTATTCACAACATGTAAGGCAGACCCTGGCTAAAGCTGGGAAATTGCGAGGTAGAAGAAGAAGTGTATTTAGGAATACTTACATGGTTCTATACTTAGGGAATTTGTTGCTTTCAAGGCTCTTGACAGTTGAGTACCAGAATCTCTGGAGCTCAGGTCGGCTAGTAGATATCCAGTTGTGGAGGAAAAGAAAGTCACTTTCTCTTATCCCCGAGCTAAGAATGGCGTGGAGAGCTGATATACGAAGTTGGATGTGCTCGTTGTCATCCATTAAGATTGGCAAAGAAGTTTCTAAGACCTGTAGGAATTTGGACTTTAAGATACATCCCTTGAATGGTCATTTTACAATCCTGCCAAAGGTACAGCTACTATACACGGAAAAAATAACTTCAAAATTCAAAACGGTAGTCTAAAACTGTTCTTTCATATGAATTGTTCAATACTTTACATTAAATCCTCTGGTATCTTGTCCACAAGCCAGTGATGCCCACAATCTTTCATGCCTATTTCTTGTTTTGTCAGCGTATATCGTCCGTATATATGACTCTGATGTGTAACCCAAACTGCAAAGTCCTTGGAGCCAAATGAGACGATCCAGATATTGAGGACAGTCTGGAAAACAATTTGGAAATATTTTGTATTCTTCGTTCTTAAATTCGATTTATGATGGAACTATATTTGGTGATGGTAAACGTTTTATTAAAATATTATTTCTTAGAAATCACTTCAAATATATTTACACTAAAAGCAAAATAATATCGGAATTGTGATGATAGTGCTGAAAAGTTTTATTTATTTTATTTATTTATTTTTGTACCAACCGAGTATACAGAAAATTATCAATAACAGATGTGTACAGAGGAATTTTAGTGTAATATATATCTTCTTCTACCTGGCAATTTCCCAGCTTTAGCCAGGGTCTGCCTTACATGTTGTGAATAGTTTTGGCGAATTGTTTTTACGACCGGCCGCTTGCCTAACATCAATCCTCTTTGGGAATGCATTAATCAGTGATGTCTAAATACTCTTAGAAAGTACATATGACTCGGAAAAACCACATTGGTACTTGCCAGGATCGAACCCGCGCTCTCATGCATGAGACTCGGGCCTTTTAACCACTAGGCCACCACTGACTATAGTGTAATATATTATATATATATGTGTATATATATGTGTATCACATCACTCACCGCTGTACATTCTAAAGTATTTGACTACAATGCTGTCAAAATAGTCCTGTTTGACCTTCATAGCCTCCACGCAATGTGACACCATTATCGCAAATGATAGTATCCCAGCATGTCTTATCTCTTGAGGGAAGTCCAGACCCAACTTGCTGAGAGTTTCCATGTCCTCAAGAAGCGCCTGACTGTGGTTCGCTATGTTGAATGGCAGCTTACGAATCAGTGATAGAATTGTTGCATCTTCTATATTCTCCTATTTCAGAATTTAATAATTATCATTAATGAGATCTAAGATTTTCGAGAGTACTCATTTAAATGAAACTAATATGTTCGGATTTACTTTTATTTTATTTTTATATTTTATTATAAACCACATACTCCCGACGTTTCGGCTACTTTACAGCAACCGTGATCACGGGCAGACGAGATGTGAATGTCTGTCAGTCGGTCTTGTTATTTTTAATAATCTGCCCGTGATCACGGTTGCTGTAAAGTAGCTGAAATGTCTGGAGTATGAAGTTTATAATCAAAAATAAAAATCGCGTAGTAAATCTGAAAATATTAGTTACAATTAAATTATCGGAAATTTATTTTAATAAAGTACAAAAAAAGTCCGTGTAATCAACTGGTTTTGCAACAACTAAATTCAATTCAATTGGTTTATATATGGCCTTCATATGGTAAAAACTGCCTAAAGACTTTGTATGTCTACTTTTTAATAATTGCTATGCTTACCTTTTCCTTAACAACAAGGTATTTTATAAATTTTGCACAAGCATTGCTCCTTCCGTGCGGAATTACTTCTAGGAAGATATTTCTTGCTGTCTCCAAGTCGTAACTAGTGCCCAGGACTAAATCTTCGAAAAGTTTGACGAGTGTCGTATATGATAGTTTTGTTACTGTACTGAAAAATATATGTAGCATTTTAGGTACAGATATTAGCTTCTATTTTAAGACAATCTTTTGAAGTCTTACTTTATCAGGTCAATGAAATCCATGCTGTGTATAAGCGTTGCATCTTTGACAATATTATCAGCGTCTATTCCTTTAGTTGCTATTTTAAGCAAAATCTGAAATAAATTAACTAGTTTATATATTTTTGAAGTGAAACTTCTTTGGGCGCATGAGGGTCAAATTTTTACAGATATAACGTCACGCCGGTATGCAACGGAAGTGTCGAAAAAGAGAGAGAGAGAGAGAGATTGAGAGAGAGTGAGACAGAGCGAACGTCGTAAAGTTTTAGATTTGTATAAAAATATAAACAAGATTTATAAATTAGTTCGCCAGAGAAGTTTCACTTCAGGTGTACTTTGTACGCACGTATTTTTATTTTACAATACATACGGCATAATTTTATTACATAGATACCTCATAAGTTTTATTCTTCAACTCTTCTTGAGATATAATTTTTATTCCATTCGTAGGATCATCGAAACCGCCAGCAATGTATTGTATGCTGCTGACTTGAGCTCCTTCTAATACATATTTTTTTGCCGGCAAAGATGATTCCGAATCACGGTAGAGGGATAGCCTGAAAGAAAATTACATCAAAAAGAGACTTTTCTGTACATAATATTAAGGTTGACATTTAAACTACAGAAAATAATTCAAACAGTTTTTTTTTTTTTGGAAAAATCATTCTTATTTAAAAATAACGGTTAACTTAACCATTCAACTTAATTAAACGTATCAAATCATCATCCTATCAGAGCACACTGCTGAGCAAAGGCCTCTTTCTCACTTGGAGAACTTGGTTTGAGCATTAATCACCACGCTTGCTCAAGACGAGTTGGTGATTTCAAACTTATAATTGTGGAATTATAAGTCCAGGTTTCCTAACGATGTTTTCCTTCACCGACTGCCAGTGTCTAAATACTCTTAGAAAGTACATATGATTCGGAAAAATCACATTGGTACTTGCCAGGATCGAACCCGCGCCCTCGGCAACGAGAGGCGGGCCCTTTAACCGCCAGGACACCACTGACTTAATACCATTAATACTTAATACTTAGTCAGTTTAATACCATTGAGTGTGTTTTAACAATTTTTTCTTAATTTAACCAAACTAAAATTGATAATAAGCATTAGTAAAACTGAAATTTTACTTAGAAATCGACGAATCACTTACTAAATACTTGTTCTTTATACAATCCCTACTAATATTATAAATGCTAAAGTAACTCTGTCTGTCTGTCTGTTACGCTGTCACGCCTAAACCACTGAACTGATTTTAATGAAATTTGGTACAGACATAGAGTTGACCTTGAGAAGGAACATAGGATAGTTTTTATCCCAGACTTTTGGAAGGTTCTCTTGGATCGATATAACCGAACTCCACGCGGGTGAAGCTGCGGACGGAAAGCTAGTTATTCATAAAACTAATTAATATTCAAATAATTATACTCACTCAGTCGTAACCGTGAGCACATGTCCGTCCACTATGTACTCAAACAGACCTTTCATATTCAAACAGTTCAGACCCTTTTCATCAAGATCATACACGCGTTGCGACGTCGCTATATTCTCAGGCTGAAATATTACATAAAATAGGTTATTTATCACAAAATATTTCCTAATCTACATAGTACATATCCGTACTAACATTATAAATGCGAAAGTAACTCTGTCTGTCTGTCTGTTACGCTTTCACGCCTAAACCACTGAACTGGTTTTAATGAAATTTTGTACAGAGATGGAGTTGACCTTAAAAAAGAACATAGGATAGTTTTTATCTCAGACTTATGAAAGGTTCTCTTGGAAACGCGATTTAACCGAACTCCACGCGGGCGAAGCTGCGGGCGGAAAGCTAGTCTTTAATAAGTTTAATATTTTTTTATATTATAATCTAAATCAATAGTATTGTAACTGGAAAGTTAGTGATGATGTATGCATCTTTGTCGCTCTATTACGCTAAAACTGCTGAACCGAATATAATGAAACTTTACGGTAATATAGCTTAGGCATAAGATTGAGACATAAGCTCGAATTCATCCTGTAGTTTCTACGGGATAAGGATGCAACGTTTGTATTATTTATGAAGTCACACACTACAGATTGCCATAGGTATTATTTTAACATATTCTAAAACATTTCTCTATGAAACCAATTCTGAAGTTCATACGGTCGAATTCACGGGCATAAACTAGCACATAATATTTTACGAAGTGTTTGCAGGATACGGTTCTTATTTCCCAAATTATTTCTATGAGACGAAACTTCTCAGCATTCCATGGATTCACCGTGCGGGTGCCGGGTAAATCGTTGCAGGGAGAGGAGCTTCAACAGTGACTGGGACTTGTGACCCAAGTGTAAGTTTAAGGGGCCCCTTATCTAACGCGCGTTATACGCTCACTTCCACTGTCCAAGTTCCTCTCCCTACCTAACCATATTTGAAAAGAACCTACTAGGGCTCCCTTCGATGTACGTTCCAAGAATGCATTAATGTGAGTTTTTTTACTTTGTAATCGTTACCCGTAATTGTAAACGTAATAACAAACCCGATATTTTAAGCCATTCCCTCATACATATTTGAGGTATTTTTAGTTAAGTTATCCGCATCATTGAACTGTTTGTGCCGAAACAATATAAAATAGACCTATTTCAATTACTAAAAAACACTGTTTTATTTGACATTTATACGTTAAATTTTTTAAGTGCCAATCTTTTACTTTGAATTAAATATTCATAACTTGATGCAAATCACAGTATTGCTGTTAAGAAGCTAGTGAGTAGTGATTTAAATTTCATGTTAATTTTATATAACATCATTGATTTGGAGCTAGATTGAAATAAAACATAAACCAAAGAATGAATGTTGTACTATGACCTCACAAATACATATTAAGTAAAGGTTCGGGGAAAACCACTTCGTCACATTTATGTTTAAATTAAAGTATTTTATGTTTAAATTCAGTTGTTCTAAATAAAATTTCTTATCAGTATATCTTTCATATACTCTTTATTGCGGGAAAGAATTTGGCAATTACCAAAATATATTATAAACATTATGTATAATGATAAATTTCGAAAAGTGTGCTACATCTCCATCGAACGCGGTTTACATTTAGTTGTTGTGTATATGTATTTATACAGAATTATTCCTTAATACAAATCAAAGCAAATTAATGAAAAATATTTTCAATGGCATTAATTGAAACTAATATCATTCGGATTACTACGTGAATTTGATTATTTTAAACTACATACTCCCGACGTTTTGGTTACTTTACGACCGTGATCACTTACAGACGAGATGTGAATGTCTGTCTGTCATTAACACTATAAGATTAAAATATTAGTTTGATTTATATCATCATTATGATCATCAGCCTATCAGAGCCTACTGCTGAGCAAAGCCCTCCTCTCACATGGACAAGATTTGAGCATTAATCACTACGCTCGCTCAAGACGGGTTGGCGATTTCAAACTTATAATAAGAAATTATAAGTTCAGGTTTCCTCACGATGTTTTCCTTCATCTGTCAGTAATGTCTAAATACTCTTAGAAATTACATATGACTCTGAAAAATCACATTGGTATTTTAATCACTATTCACTAGGCCACTATGACTATTTATTTACATGTATGTTGGAGACGAAACCTCTTAACATTCAATGTATTCACGAAGCGTGTGTCGGGTCCATCGTTGTAGAGAGAGGAGCTTCAACAGTGCCTGGGATTTGCGACCCAGGTGTTGGTTTAAGGGGCCCCTTAACTAACGCGTTAAACGCTCACCTCCACTGTCCAAGCTCCTCTCTCTACCAAATTTGAAAAGAACCTACTAGGGCTGCCTTTGACGTACGTTCCAAGAATGAATTAATGTTAGTTCTGGACAGGCCCAAGCCTTTTAGTAGGTTATAGAGAGATTTAGATTTATTTATATTTACCACCCCCCTCCCGTAATCTCCACTCCAAGGTACGGAACTCCAGCTCGTCTGTGATGTCATAGAGGCTTTCTGATAGGAGTTATACTTCTTGATTGTGTTCCCTTGCACCGAGTACACCATAACACAACTCTCGTACAAGCATGGCTGGAAAGTATGAAGAAAATTGTGAATTAATTTCATCATCATCATCATCCTATCAGAGCTCACTGCTGAGCAAAGGCCTACCACATGGAGGAGGTTTGAGCATTGATTTTTGATTAATTAATTTTGTTATATACAAAGAAATTGGAGTATGTCTCTTTTATAGAACATAATCTTCTTCTACCTGGCAATTTTTCCAGATTTGGCCAGGGTCTGCCTTACATATTGTGAATAGTTTTGGCTAATTGTTTTTACGACCGGCCGCCTGCCTGACATCAACCCTCTTTGGGAATGCATTAATGAGTGATGTCTAAATACTCTTAGAAAATACATATGCTTCGGAAAAATCACATCGGTACGTGCCAGGATCGAACCCGCGCTCTCATGCATGATGCCGGCTTTTTAACCACTAGGCCACCACTGACTTATATAAAATATCTTTGACTATTACATCGTATTACCTCTTCATTTGTATAAGAACCGGTGTCCTTTTTCAATTGAAAGTTAACAGATATGGCTCTCTTTATATTGGTCACCCAAACTTTTTCGTTTGGTAAATGCTGTATTGCACTTATGAAGCCGTTCTCCTGAAAATTAGAACATGAATCAGAAGCTTAGAATGACGAAAAGTAATTAGAATTAACACAAAATTCAATATAAATTTTAGTGTGGCAAAACAAAGTTTTTAGAAGTTTTCTAAAATTACCCTTCAAATAACATAATTAATCATTAAATATTGCACTAAATTTAGTGCATGGAATGCTGAGAAGTTTCGTCTTGCCTCGTCTAAATGCCAATGTTTTTTTGTGCATTCTTTCTCTGTATGTATTTATTTAATAACATATACTTTTAACATTACTTCATATTGTCAAACTGAACATGGTTATAATCGGGTTTTTGTTTCTAAAGCACCTTCGTATGTTGATACCATCAAAGACAAAGATTTATAAAATGAGATCTAAGATTTTCACGAGTACTCATTTAAATGAAACTAATATTTTCGGATTTACTACGCGATTTTTTAATTTAGACTATAAACTACATACTCCTGACGTTTCAGATACTTTACAGCAACCGTGATGACAGACACTCACATCTCGGCTGCCCGTGATCACAGTTGCTGTAAAGTAATCGAAGTCGGGAGTATGTATGTAGTTTATAGTCTTAAATAAAAAATCGCGTAGTAAATCCAAAAATATTAGTTTCATTTAAAAGATTTATAAAAAAAAAACTCAGGGAAATCGTGGTAATGATAACTAAATGTTTTCATTAACAATAGTATGAATACTCAAGAATACTGAATATTGAATACTCAAGAAAATCCATGTGATATTATTAGTATGTACAATATTCATACTTTCAACTCATTGAAACTGCTTTCAATAAATCATCATATATTCCAGCAACTCTATAATATTTGTTGTAAGAATACCAAGTTTTATGAAAAATGTTCCTGTCATTACTTTCTCTATAATATAATAAAATCCTACCTGATAAATAATTTTCCACGGCTCTTCCAATTCCCTCGCCGCTTCTGGGGTGTGATACGATGAAAAACCGGTGTTATAACTGTACACAGATGTCTGAAAATATAAAAATATTACTAGGTAAGTGTTATATGCATAAATATATATATTATTAGATCAAAATTGATCTAAAGGAACCTAAACGCCGGGATAATGTAGTTAAAATAGCATAAAAAATGCTTAATACCTGTAAAACTTAGTTTCATTCAAATAAATACATTCAAAAATCGAGATATCACTAAGTATAAAGAAATACAACTATCAAAATATATATCTTCATCTACCTGGCAATTGCCCAGCTTTAACCAGGGACTGCCTAACTACTATCAAAACATATTGAAGTAAAATTACCTTCAAATCTTCCAATTTACATTGAACTGTTGTATAATAATTATCATCCACAAGAACAACTAGTCTGCCCTCCAAAGTCCAATAAGAATCCCTGTGAGCCACTCCCGTTGATATATTTGTTTTGACAACGAAATTGTATTGTTTCAGATCGGGAAAAAGCATTTGTATTCCCGTCGCCGAAGCCAGGGAGAGAGCTGAAATATTAAAATTCACTTATATATAGATAATAATATTTAATCATCATCAGTCTATCAGAGCTCACTGCTGAGCAAAGGCCTCTTCTCACATGGAGAAGGTTTGAGCATTAATTACCACGCTTGATTGATGATTTCAAACTTATAATTTGATATATAAGTCCAGGTTTCCTCACGATGTTTTCCTTCATCTGTCAGTGGTGTCTAAATACTCTAATAAAGTACATATGACTCGGAAAAATCACATTATTACTTGCATTTTAACCACTAGGCCACCACGACTAATATTTTAACTTACAAAGTAATTCTTGTTTATAAAGTAATTCAAAACTACCCTCAAAAACTTCACTTATTAATTTTCTATAATTAAATTGATTTATCAATATTTTACTCACCAGTAAATAAAAGAATACATCGATGTATCATCTTCTTTACTATCTGTAATATTTGAATTTGATAAATATTGACAGAAATAAGAAGAAATATTTACAAATGTTTCCACTTAACTCTTTCGATATATAATACAAATAATCAATTTTTAGCTGGATTTAGAACAACAAATTACCCTAACAAAATATCTTTGGATAAAATCACGAAAAACAACACCAGTTTTTATCGCCAAGAAAATTAATTGAAAGTATGATTATAATATTTCTGTTCGCAACTTTATATATCACATACCAAATTATGTGTTTAACACTATATGTATTATATTAATTAATATATTTCTAAATAATTCACTCACATTTTAATAATATTGTGATTAAATGCCCAGTCTCCCACCAAGACGACGAAACAATGATTGCGTCTTCATTGACACGATACAAGCAAAGCGAGGTATGTATGAAAATATATTTTTCAAGCCATTTTTTTTCTCTAAATTTTATATCACATTTTTGTAATTTAAATATTAATTTTATTCGATAAAATCTAGAGGGCTAAAGTTTTGATATTGATGAGTGACAGCCCAAAGTTTATGGCAAGGTAATGAGAAAATCGACATCTCAAAATGTTCCTTTCATTTGAGTTGTTAAAGGCAATTGTTTTTTTAATAGTTTATTAAATTCTTCAATGAGTTACAATGATTTTTATAATCTTTTATAGGCTGGCAATAAAACACAAATTAAAGATATGTGATTAAAATGTTTATAATTAAATATAGAATATAACAACATGTAACAACTAAAAAATCTATGTACATTGGTATTAAAATAAAATATTATTGTCAACTACATACCCAAAAAAATATACAATTATTACATATGGGTGCTATCAACCACCATTAAATAAACTCTCATACTAAATCTTCGCCTTTTGTAACAATAATTTCTTATAATTGACACAAAATATATGAAAATCGACTTACACCATATTAACTTGAACCTTATCGGGCGTTGACAATTCACTCGAACTGTGACCCAGGGAATAAGCGAATTTAATGAATCGTTTATTATACCTGACCAATATAACATGACCTCTGTTTTAAAACTCCACTTATTGATTGTAGGGTAAAGCATTTTGACTTATTTTTTACATTTACTTTGCTATAAATCAAATTAAATGAAACTAAATCATATGTTTTTACATTTAAACTATAGCTATCTCTTTCTCACATCCCTCAATCACAAGTGATAAGTACATTTACATTTGTTAATGTTATTAATTAACTTTTTTCGATAACGATTTCAAATGAGTTGAATTAATTCTGTTGATGTAGTTATTACTGTACTAGTTTTTGCCTGCGGCTCCGTCCGCGTGAACATAAATTGCGCTTAGCAAGAAAGTGTTAAAACAATGCGTATAGTAACTTACGTTGCAGTCTTTTCATTTTAAATAACCTTAATATCGACTGCAGCGCCATCTGCCGGAATAATTTGTGAATCTAAACCGCTGTCATACAAATTTTAATTCAAATTGGTCCAGCCGTTTAGGAGTTCCGTGACATACAAACGTACTATACAATTATACATATATATAAAGATAATATATAAAGCATATGTATCTAATATTTTATGATTATAATTCCATTAAAACATTTCTTCTAGCAAATAAATAGACTCACATCTCGTCTGCCCGTGATCACGGTTGCTGTAAAGTAACCGAAACGGGAGTATGTAGATTTTTACAAAAAAAAATATTGGTTTCACATAAATAGACTGCTGATTTTTCCTAACTAAATCTTCTTCTACCTGGCAATTTCCCAGCTATAGCCAGGGTCTGCCTTACATGTTGTGAATAGTTTTTGGCTATTTGTTTTTACGACCGGCCGCCTGCCTGACATCAACCCACTTTTGGGAATCAACATCTTTTCCTAACTAAATATTTCGTCTTATCTTCAATGGCCACCATTGTGTTGAAAATATTAAAGTCCCAAAACCAAATTATTATTTGTATAAGAAGATTCGTGCATAGATATCTGCATTCCAGATACAATGGTGGCTCTATAGCTTAGTTGGTAAAGCAATTCGAACGCGATGTTCCGTAAGTTGCAGATTCAAAGCCTGCTTAACCATGATTTATGTATTTTATACTATAATTTTGATTCAAGCTAGATATTTCTATATATTGTTATATAAACCTAGAGGCTTCATTGACGATCTAAATATGTTTAAAACAAAGTTTAACAAATCACTTTTTAAGTTTTTATCGACCTCGCGTTAAACTTATGTAAAATTAAAACAAAATAACCATAGTGTTGACTGTACCCGAACGCGCAGTTTATGGTTCCACTAGTGTAGTTTCGGGAACGGGATTGAAATTGGGATGAGGATGGAAATTAGGATAGGGCTCGGGGTCGTTATCGGGATGAAATATTTTATAAGCTGATTATTTGAATTATGGTAACATATCACGATACAAAAATGTAATGCGCTCTTTACACTACTTAATTTTGAGGTCGGGATTCGGGATCGGGATAAAAGGTAACCTATATCCATTCTCAAGATTTCATATATTTTTTTATACCAAAATTCATCAAAATCGATTCAGCGGCTTATACGGGAAAATCTAACAGACGAACAAACAAAGTTACTTTTATAATAATAGCTGGGATTTATAACCACAATATATTGTTTGCTTTGGCGTTAAGACTATAAATAATATTTTGGTTTCAAATTTGAAATATATATATAGTATATATAAAAGAAAGTGGTGTTAGTTACACTATTTATAACACAAGAATGGCTGTACGGATATGGTCGAAAATTGGTGGAGAGATATATTAGAACAAGGAGACGGACATAGGATATTTAATTCTGTTCGTTCGAATTACTAAACTTAATAAACACCAAGCCGTATGAACAAGAAGATTCGTTACACCATACAAGCAATAGAATTTCATTGCTATCCTAACATCGGGACAACTATGTAGTCTTAGGTGTAGGTTATAAGTTTTAATATGTAATTCTTATTATAATATACATATAAGTAAGTTTCGTAGTTTTCCTGGAACCTCCTTCTGCCACCCGGTTGTTATATAATTAGATGTAATAATATTACAACTAATACTCGTATGTTAACAGTTTTAGTTCAATAAAGGCTTTTATTTTATTATTTCGTAAACATTTTCTTTGATATAAACTAGAGAATTTGTAAGGAAAGTTCTTGATTGATAGGCAGGGCCAATTAATAATTCTAGATATAATCCACATTTAGAATACTTTATCTCCAAGTCAGTTACAATCTTGTCAACTGAAAATAGTTTAAAATTTAGATGAATAGGTCGTTGCCATTCAATTAAGTATATCCTTCATATGAAAGAAATATTAAATTAAATTTAATATTTGGGAAGGCGTTTTTTATTATATTACGAATACGGTGAAGGCATCATTGTTCAATCTACATATATCTTACTCAGCTTATCATAGTTTATGTGCTAGAAATCTTGGTTACTCTTTAGAAAAGAGAAACTATGGATGAAAACCTGTGAAAAAATCTGGCGTAAAATTCTGCTGAAATCCCATATATAACATTTACTTTCTCTATATCGATTTTTAAGTAAACAAACAAGTTTTTTTTATCTTTTTCTTATCAGCGCGTAATTATACCCGCATTCCTGTTCAATCCCTGCCGCGTTTCGATATACAAGTCTTACAGCTGGCTTTTCTTGAATTTTCAGAATATAAAATACCATTATTATAACATATTCCGAAAACATTAAAAGAAAAATAATTTTGAGAGAAAACTTATACCATTGTATGTAAAAAATGACGAAACATTTTTATATCTCCCGCTTGAGAAATAATTCATTTACATTCTTCTTCTTCTACCTGGCAATTTTCCAGCTTTAACCGAATTCTGCCTTACATGTTGTGAATAGTTTTGGCAAATTGTTTTTACGACCAGCCGCCTGCCTGACATCAACCCTTTTTGGGAATGCATTAATCAACGATGTCTAAATACTCTTAGAAAGTATATATGACTTTCTAATAATTCTTTTACATTATTATTTTAGATCTTAGTAAATATTAAAAGAAATCGTATAAAGAAGATTATACACGAACCTACACGCGGTTATTTTGTTGATAAAGGGCTGATAGCTATAAAAGAGTTTGTTTGCTGTCTTCTAAATAAAATGTCGACAACTAAAACAGCAGTGTGTGTGCTATTCATTATTTATATATTTATTACTTTGAGTGAATCATCGCGGCAAAAAAGGTGAGTATTATAGCCACATAAAGTATAATATATTTCGTATAACCTCGTAAGTAAAGTATGGACATTGGATAGAATACTTTTCAGTTCCTAAATCTTTAGATATTTTATAAAATTATTATTTTATTTGACAATGCAATCACGTGAGTTAGCACGGGTAAAAGCGTAAGTAATTACGTATTTTTATCATATCAATACTTCCTAATTTTTACTACCATAGCCCTCGTACAATATATTGAAATAACTAGAGATGTATACGAGTATGTGTGTGTGTGTGTGTGACATTTATCTAGATAATAGATAGACTTTTTGCCCAAAACCTTTCATTACGGTCTGTAAAACAAAGT